GCCTGAAACTGAACGAGCGAATATCAGATTACGTATCAAACACACTTGGACAGTTGTTATACATGAGGCAGGCAATCACAACAATGTTCATATTGATAATCAAGAGATGGAAAGCGCACGATGAGATGCAGGATTGGGTTACATACAAAACACGGGCGAACAGCAACCGTACACACACACACACACAGTAAAACCACCCATCCTGGGCACACTATGGAACAGGTGTCAGAATTGCCACCTAGAGGTTCGGTTGTCCGGATGACCAAAATCTGATCCCTCGCCCTCCTCTTCTACTGTGTCGAAGCGCGTGGACATTCCATTCCATGAGGCTTGCAGTTTGTAATGTGGTCACAAAGTCGCATCAGAGTGGACACATTCTAAGGTGTCTTTTGTTGAGTTTTCGAGGCAAACACGTGAACAATGAATGTGCAAGCAACAACAACAATAAGTTTACGTTCAACACACACGCACACGATGGAAATAATAAGAGGGCTGTGAGCATAATCGGACACCATCTACTTGTCATATCCATCAACAAACAGGACGGGTTGAAATTATTCACTGAGTTGAGCTAATCCTCTTCAACTTTTTGGTTCCCTGTCAAAATGGAACAACTCACGCCCGGACTCAGATGAGAATCGAATGAGGAAAGTATCTATCACCGTCAGAACTGATGCCAGTCAGTCAGTGTGGAATCATTCATTCAGTTGTGGAATCCAATTCATAGGACACTTGTTACTTATTCAGTTTTAATTTTGATCCACTAACTCCTGCGGGAGAATAAGTCGGTTTCTTGGATGTATTTAATGATGGCGGCCCATGCATGACGATCGGTAGCAAGGTTGACCCAGTTCTGGTTCCAGTTGCGAATTCCCTATACGGATTGGAGGCCCAGTAATTCTAAATCCGCCTTGATCGTGCTACTCCAGGTCTTCAGTTGACCACCGAGTCGTCAACGCCATCCTTGGAACGATGCGGGGGCTACAGCCTGTAACGAGAGTTGAATGTCGGTCCTTCGGAGAACATGACCAAACCACTGAAGGCGCCGACGTTGCAGCATTTTTGAAAGCTTGTCAATATTAAAGCAGCGCCGTTGAACCTCATCATTGGAAATCCGATCTCTCCAATTTACTTTCAAGATGCGGCGTAAGCACCAATGACCAAAGACTTCGAGCTTCCTCGTATCTTGAACTCTTAGCGGCCAGGTTTCACAACCATAAGTGAGGATCGGGTGGATGGAAGCCTGATAGACCCGAAGCTTAGTATTTAAGCTCACTTCGCATCACACACACTTGTTGCCTGTACACGTAGCACACTGGCCAGATTCGATAAGGATTTTCAGTTGATTACCTAGTGCTTTTCATGGTTCCATTTTTACTGAAGGCTATGTGTGTGTATTTGCCAGTCAAATCAAGTCGAGCTTAATTTTTTTCTCACAGGAAAAGGGAAGACTATTTTGTGTTTCGTTCGTGATGACCCACGAGTGCATCACATGAACAAGGGCGAAATAAGTGTTCAAGAGGACTCAGCTAGTTTGTTATCAGACACGGGATGAAATTATGCAATGGGAAATTCCGTACAGCTTCCAGTCTCTGAGTTGGCGGATACAACATGAAAACCCGTCAGTNCCGTCAGTCACCATCTGACAACTGGGGTGAGCGTTCTTTTGACGCTAAACACTGATAGTTGGAAACCATGTGGTAACTCATCCGAACTTTCGGATTCTGATTGAGTGTCCTTTTTACCAGTAGATATCGTATTGCGAGTTCCACAGCAAGCTATGTTTACCATCTGAAGAAAATTGCCGACTACTAAGCACTCCTATCTTTCTTTTTGACTGAACCGCATAGACCATAGGTGGGTTACAGATGCCAGATGTCACCTTTGTCGAAACTTACTTTACTGCCGTTGGCTCCTTGGAGAGGATAAACCGGCTCCAGACATGAACATGAAGTTCCTTGGGATTTTGGTACGAGAGACGTCCCCAATGTCACTCGGCGTTTTTTTATTTTGAGGGCGCACCTCTAGCCTTTGCACAACCAAGTGCGAACTGAAAGGCAGCAGGAAGTAATCCCTCGCCTCTGTGAAGGTACGCCCCTAACCACAACCAGGGGACCAGCCTGATAGCATGCAGCTCTGCTTAACCCGAAGCGCTTTTACCAGGTTGAAAAGACTGCTTTCCTGTCACAAATTTGAATAGAGAAGTCAGAAACACGAGTTTGCACAATTTATCCATGGTCATTTCGATGCATCTGTACATGTGCATACTGCAGCCAAAGCGATTTTTACAACCAGTAACTGTGAGATGAAGTTAATCACAAAGGACAACAAGACACTAGCACAAAAAACAGGAGAGAGTAGGCAAAGATAATGTGACTAACCACTCACGATTTCTGCATAGCTCGGGTTTACGAGTATAAATGGCTAAAGCCTCGGCAAATTTCAGTAACTTTGTTTGTTGTGTTGTATATGACATGAAATGCGTGAGTTGGAGTAACACAATGCATTTGTTCGCATAAGTAAGTGTTTTTTGCTCATTCGATGAAGTAACAATTTTAAACTTGTCGTCTATCGCTTTCTTAAGCCACACCACGATCTGTTCAGCCACTGGGTGACGTGGCTGCCTCTCTGCCCTGCCCATGTAGATGGTTGAGCATCCGCACTTGACTTGGTAAATACAGTTTGATTTGACCCCGGTGGAGAGGGGGGCAAAGGTTCCTTCATCAATGTCACTGGTATCCGGGCCAACCGCATAATAGACGGACTTAACGGCCGGCGGACTAATTCATTCACACCATCACCTAAGTATGATAACTTCGAAAGGTTTTCTTTCATTTAGGGGACAGTCATTGATTTTTCCACTTTTGATGTTACTTTATAAACAAGCATTATTGAAATGCTTTAAATAGGCTGTTCATCTGGAGAAATATGATACTTGAACAAAGAACACGACACTGCAAGCGAGCACGATTGAAGTTGGATACGTAAAGTGGATCTTGACGCTCGACAGCTCCTCTGTCAACCTATTCAATGAAACACTTGTAACCCAGTCGGGGCATCTTAGATTCACCACCACCATAGTAGCTAAACCTTGTGCCCATCTTCAGTGGGTGTTTATGTTTATCCTGACATTTAGATCAGTATGTTTTACGTAAGCGAACGAGAGAGGAAATAACTTGCTTACATCTCGCAACATCTATCTTCGTTCTGTACTCATGAGTTAGTAGAATAAGGAGAACGCAATGTATTGAGTAAGGAAAATATCAAAAAGTGCTTTATTTTCTCGGTACATAGGACAACAACAACCGTAAGAATAGTCACACTCGTGGACCACGAGCGCGGTCAATGTTGTCCGGTTACACGGGATCCACATGAATCACCAGTGCCGGTCACGGTTAGTGAAGCAGACGCACGTCGGGAGATGCGAAACAAGCGAGAACGGGAACCGTGAGACCACCACAGGAATCGTATATGTGAAGTTTTTCCCTCAGCTTGAAACCGATGCATCTAAGACACGGGAGTGGCGTGCTGTTCTTCGTTGGAATAGACGCATCGCAACAGTGCGTAGGTGCGAATGTGAACATAATGATTGTACAATCCGAACACACCCATTGCGACCATTCCGATCAGTTTGTACCATTCGGAAACCCATCGCAAACTGATCAGCTGTCCCAGGGGGATCGCCAGCGAGATGTACATCAGTAGGGAAGGTATACGCAATGGAGAATGGAACCAAAACTGTGTGCAACAGGCGGAGACAAGAAAATAATAGAGAGGAGTTGTAGGTTGTGAGCTATATACAAAATACGTGGATGCATTTTAACAAAGCGAATAATTTTATCAGACTGATAGGAAACGATGCAACAACAAAACGACCCTTAATGAGGATCATGTCTGGAAATAATGAGTAGCCGAATCAAAATTTTGATGTCTTACCCAGGGGAAGTCACAGACACTGACCTGGGTCGGCGTATTGGGTTCGAATGAGGGTTTCACTTTCGGGGTTTGGGGATTCCCCACGTCATTACAATTTACCTGTGACAGCTAATCAAGAACAATGCATCGCTGGTTCGTAACAAAAAATTGCAAGCTATTTCACGTCTCAGTAGGAATTCGAACCAAAATCCTTTGGGCTAGAATTTGTAACCCCTGATATATCCATATGTGACATAAAACCGAATGAACTAATATCATAGCATCAAACATTTGTGGTATAGCCATGGTAAATGCCATCGGAAACTTTGGTATTTGAAATAACGAAATCAATAAGATACCATAGGTCATCACGTGTATTTTTTATTACCTTTTATTTCATCTTTACTTCCCCTTACTGAATATCAAATGATGCAATTTTTAGGAAGAGAAAGCGGCCAATCAGAGGGCTACTAAGTAATAAATAATGGGGTAAATCAGGCAGTGGTGGTTGGATTCGAAAACACGGCATCCGGGGTGATAATTTGGTGACGTTACCACCAGGTCACCACCTATCCTAGTGAGTCAAAAGAAAAGGTGCCACCAGAAATTCATAAACAATTAAACCGAAGTTACAGGAACCAGTAATCTAAGATATGGGGATTTTTTAAAGCCAAATATATAAGACCCCCCCTCTCGGGTGAAGTGCTCAACCCAGCGACCAAAAAATAGCCATAAACTGCGAAACAGATGATTCCCAGTATTTTTGACCATCAAAAAAACACAAGAACAACCCCAGACCATGCCCGACAACCGTATATATGATCTCCCTCTCTCAACACTGATTCCAATCTGTATCAGGATGTTCTAAAGGGAGCGGGTGAGCTGGCATTGACTGTATATGGAATAAGGAGACTAAAATATTACTACCACTAATCTGATTGATAAGCAGAATAATAGTAGTATACGGCACACTGAGTAACTGTCGTCGTCAATAAGCATTTATCATGGTAAAGCACAGAGGCACAGAACAACTGAACAGATATGCGCGCGTGGACTGGTAGTCGAAAAGGCTGAGAAATATATGTCCATTTACCCGAAAAGTTGATATCAATATAGGCTTCGGTTGATTTACCTAGATGGTCGAGTTCGGGCCTCGGGGGAAGCCGTCGATGGATTGGAGCGCTTGACACACTGTTGATCAAGACATTGTGCGAATCGACTTTGGGTTGTAGTGTTGTCTATCCGTTAGATATTTCTATAATTATATTACTACAGATCCAAGCAGTTCGGTATTTGAAGTCGCTGACTGCTAGAATTAAACAGCACTGGAAGGTTTGCCTCGCGTAACGTGCTTTGGTATTCCACAGACTGGCAACATAAAACAGAACACTAACGAAAAAGCGAAAATGAAAAAAAATGATCAAGGTCATCAGTACAACAGCCAGGAGGTTTTGTATTCCAGTTCCACTGTGTGCTACCTAGCTTTGCAAAGCACAGGAATCATTCGACTGGCCGCTTCCTCGTTCGCAAAAATGGATTACATCATTGCGTACGTAGGGAAGCGGACGAATATTGTTATAATGAAACGGACGGTGCAATAGTTGTTACAATCATCGCGCCTAACAGCACAGGTCAATCCAACGCGGAAAACTGGAAGCGAGGATGAGAACTAATGCGGACGGCATGATGGAAAAGCGATCCCGAGACTTGGCGATGGGATAGAACATCGATTGATGAGGGCTTCGCGAATAGAACTGCCCATAGAAAAACGATATTAAAAAAAAAACAGGTGGAAAATCTCGATCGACTGTCAGAGGGAGTGGAAAAACACTGGGACATGTTTACAGGTTGGCAAAGCACGATATCGTAAAGTTTGCTGACACAAGTCAGTAAACCATTTGAGTGAGAGAGAAAAAACAAAGCCCAACTATATGAGGATTGCGCTCTCAACAGCGTGTGACAGCGGAAACCAGTGTGTCGATCTTGTTGTCCGTGTCCTTAAGTTCAACCACACGTGGGCAATGAGTCATCCGGGCCCAAAGTCAACGCAGAGAGAGAGAAAAGCAACTATGATTAGACGACCCTGGATTGTTCCTTTATGGAGAAAAAAACACCACGAATGCTGCTATCACCAACACCAACACCAACACTACTATTACCACTACGACTACTACTACCACTACTACCGTCAAATGCGACTAGAATAACTAAAGTATTTGGAACCGGGCGGTGAGGCTGGGTAATCGCGAATAAGGGATAAGGTGAGGGGGTTAGTGTTGGCACTGAAAACCCAGTCATCGTGGTCTGGAGCAAAAGGAATTGAGATTTGGTGACCCCGTCCAACGTGCATGGTACTGTTCCATGAATGTGGAAAAAGGGAAAACGGACAGAGTAAGTCGGTATGGGAACACACATATATATACACGCATGAATACAACACACAACCGGTGAAACCGCAATAGACGGAACAGGTGTTCAAAGTATTTGTCCGTGTGCGGAGCAATGTGGAGAAGAAAAGAACCGTTGAAGTAAGACACGGGAGAAACAATGGAAGTAACTATTGTAGCTGTTCAACTCAGTTTAACCGTGTGGGTGAGTGAGAAACACTAAGGTTTGAACAGGTAGCAACAGTACTTGGCCTGTATGACTAGAACTGATCACCGATGGGAAAAGGGGCATGAAATACATTTCAGATAGGAGGTTTCGTAATGAACGAAAAATGTAGGTGAAGAATAATTTTTCAATTCAACACCATGGAAGCGGGGGTGGGTGGGGAGGGGTAGGAATAAAGCCAGAAGTGAACTAGCCTAAATGACTTTCCAGAGATTTAAAAATAAATAAATGAATTTAACGATCGATTAATCCAACGATCAATCGTTGCAAAAAGACGGATCGCATAAAAGTCAGTTTTATTGATGTGATCCGTTGTTTTTGTTGCGCATTTGGGTTTGCAACAATATGCATGTGTCTAGGGGTTGTAAAAAACATCTTTCCCGCTCCGACTAAGTGTAATACGCTACATCAACAATTGGCAGTCTGTCTTTTCATCAATCTGGTTTTGCATCGCTTCTGAACTGAACTTACTCATATGGTAAATTGTTTTGTTTTGTCCTCGCTTACCACAATTTTGGTGCAACTTTGCTTGATCATTGTTGGTTGACTATGTGGCTACGGAATATTCATCTTTTGGGGGTGCATAAAGCAAATACTTGATTTGATAACACACTCCATCGAAAACGTTTAGCACAATCATTGAAATCGACAATGGACGCATTACAGACTCAGCTAAACATCCAATCGATAGCTGAGTGATTTGAGTTAAATCGAACAAACCACTGCAGCTGTGCCGTGGCACACAGGGCGTGTTATGCGCATAGCATCGGACGATGAAGAGTTCGAAAGATTAAGATTTGTGAAGTTGAGGTGGTTGTACTGGTCCTTCATTTGTATACGGTCCCAATCGACAAATGTATAGTTCAAAATTAAAAGGTCACCTAGCCCCGAGGAAGACGCGCTCGTTCACATACGAGCATTGTAATAGCCAGAATCGAATCCCTGAAGACCACGTGTGAGATTGTTAGAATCATAAGCTTAACGACTGTATAACATTATTTGGCGTGAGAAGTGCTCTGATCGAAGCGTAGAATGCTCGTCAATTTTGCGAATCGGTGAAGTGATTGCAGTGAAAGGTGGGGAAAGACAAATATGATACAGAAGTAAGACACGTCCCGACCATCTGAGAAATGGACACTTGCATAGGCACTGTCAACGGCCTGCTGCTTTGGGCCCTAGTATCCGAGGTCCGAGCCCCATTACTATCACCCAACTTTGGTGGTAGGCACGCTTTTGCGATTAAGGGGTTCACCCTGCTCTTCATCGCACAAGTGTGTGCATGTGGCAAACATTTACATATGCACATACACAGCGTTTACCCGAAAATACGACCGCATATGATACCATTTTTTTTTGCTTCAGAAGACGCTCTCTAGGGTTTTTTGTGGATACCTTATTTTCACACATCAGAAAGCCAGGTTTATACAGTTAAATTATCTTCTCTCAAAATACCATCATAAATCTATAAGTTCCGAATTCTGGCCAGAATTGGTTGCAACATTTTCTGTAGAACTTCACTTCACCCTCTCGTATCCATCAAATAAAGCTTACCTTTAATGGGCATCGTTTTGTGTAGCCTGCTCATAGTGCATTGGTAGCACAGTTGTCAGTGATTTTCTCCCATGAATTCTTCATTCAAATTACAACGTCACAACGCTTCTACACTGATTCCTTTTCATAATATTTTTATTGATTTCTATGCGTGAATGATCATTAAAAGGTTCGTTGACTGCGGTATCAAGAGTGTGGAGATATGTAGCCATTCATATAAAAGTTACTAATTGATCTCTGTTTCTCTCTTCGTGCCTCCAAAATCCTCAGTATGGTCGGGGATAGGTGTCTAGGGTTGCGGGTGATCACCCTTCCCTTGCACCTCACAAAAATGTCCCCCGACGACGAAGCGGCTCAAATAGCCTCTGCTGAGGAAGCCCTACTCACTTCCTCCTCGTGGCGGAGGTGTTTTCGCATCAAAGTGAGAGGACTAAAAACCTAAATCCGGGTAGGTGGACCATTGGCAGTTCACCTAGAATAGTTGACCAAACACCCTGATACCAAACCAACCAAGAGGAGGCGTAAGAACCACATCCACACCTTTAAGGTTGTGGCAGTGGTCACCGGCTCGATTGGGCATCAAGGTGTACTGAGAACCTTGAAAGTTTGACTCCGTGCAAATGGCGTATGATCCGATGAACTGGATACCGGCTCCCAATGGATTGCGGTTTTCACACACCGCCCCGCTGCCTTGCGGGTCAAGCTTTGGCTAGCTGAAGGCTACGGTTGTGGATTCCTCAAGAAAATTTGTGACCTCACCGAACTCTTCGCTTACACCTTGTCGACTCAAACAGCAACTGCAGTTCTCATCTAGGGTTTAGTTCCGGGTAGGGCTGAGATGGAAAGGTCATGTTAAGGCTTAATATGGGGTAGGTTGTATGATGGGGGGGGATGGTATTAGGTATGAGAAATGAGTACTACAATATTCTAATCATCGACCGACCAAATGTGGATATCCTAACTAGGTCGTGAGAACGAAGAACACGCGATAGGACAGCGCTTACGTGAAATCGGATATGTTGCACATTTCCCGGCTCGGCTGCATTGCTCACTTCCACAGACTGAAATTGTCCCCGTACGTGTTTCACCACAACTCCGGATGCATAAACCTACCAGACAGAAATTAATGAAGCGAATGAGAACAAATAATCGATACATTGTACAAATGTTTCATTGCCAATAGCTCTTAACAAAAGCATCATGAGAGAGTTTTCACTGACAGCAGATAGGAACTTTGTCAACTGGGAGGGGGTGGGTGAGTGAACGTAAAGTGCAATAGAAAAAGCTTCAGTTTTTCTTGTAGACGTGTTTCTCTCTAATACCACTTATAAACTGTCAGTGATGGAATATACCTGACGAAAAACCGACGGGGACCTCCTTTAGTTTTCAAAATCAAATCACAACAGCAGAATGCACTACTCAAGAAAAACATTCAGGCACCTTTATATGAACAAACCAAGATGCTTTCTGTGATAGTGTGTATCCGAATCATATACAATTTAATAGATACACAACGAGACTGGAGAGTATGACATCATTTGGTACTAACACATGAATGAAGTGGTCAAGGATATCCGGTTTCAACTGAGCCAGTTTTTAATCAGATTTATATATATATATATATATATATATATATATATATATATT